AATCGATACGGATTTATAAAGTTTACCACTTCAACCGGATTCCATTGTACCTCTCATTGTGAATTAGATGGAGGTTTATATGTCAGATCATCATATTTGTATCAACAATTTAAACAACTTCTCAGACCTCCCAATAGCTTGCCATGTTGGCTTCTTTTTTTTCTCCTCCCTCTTGTAGACTATTATCTTCTCCTTCACCCCAGGTAACACACGCCTGCCCTCTAGCCTATCACTTCTGTAACCGCCAAAGTCTCTCTCCCTTTTCCTCCCATGCTTGGTAGCCTTCTAGGTCTATTTCTTTTGGTATGAAAAACCTTTACTTTGCTTGTGTCTTTTCTAATAATGGTCTCATAGAACAGCTGCTCTGTTGCGAGTGACTACCGTCACTCAGCAAGATGTTCTCCAAATCCAGCCACGTCGTGAGGCGCTTCACAGCTCCTTCATAATGTTTTGGAAATGCGTAGTGCTTTCTACTGTGTGCACGTACAACTTCTATCCATTCCTCGTCAGTAGCAGAAAGGTTCCATTTTAACCATTTGTTAAGTGTACAAGTGAACGGCATTAATTACACTCACCCTGTTGACTTATCAACACGATTTATTTCCAAAATTGGTTACCTCTTCAACAATAACTCCCAGAATTCCCTCCTACCCCAGTTCATGTTGACCACTTTCGAATTCATTTGTCTTTCTCTTTCCATGACAACAAGCCCTTTTTTATACAGATGTGCCTAATGGTCTCTGGATGAAGCTATTTGGGCCTATTGTCATGGTTGTTTGTGTGTTTGTTTTTCTGATTGAGCAGGTCACCATCAAAGGTTAGATCGTAATAAAAGGTATAGGCCCTCTTCCCTTAATCTCACTGCCAGGTGAGATGGTCCATAAACCCAAGTGTCAACCACAGTCTATTACATACAAGTATTTATTATCAAGGAAACATGCATATTCCCCTGTGACTCATTCTGTACACTCGGCAATGTCTCCAACACTCCTTTTACTTACTTCTGCAACTGACAGAAAAGAGGCAAAGACAACAGAGTTCTGAAGAGATGATTCAGTACATCTTAGATCAGAAAGCAGACTCTTCTTTGGTTAATCATATGAACACAGCACCTACCAAGAGTTCTAGAGCTACTTGTACAGTATGTATTGCTAATGAATAATTATCGAATCTATCTTATGCTATTGTATGAACTAGTCAACCATACAGATGCAGATTTTGATCCTGTGGCTAAATGAGGGGGCAGCCTCCAGCAGCTGAATTTCAGTTCTAACTAACCGTGCTGGAGGTGTGCAGTGGTGCTGAAGGTATTTAAATGGCAACTAACCACCAACTGAAGCTAAGGCACACCCACTCACACACATCCCTCTGCTTAAAGTGAAGGCTTTTAAATTTCGGCTAGCACAGCCCAATCTATCACTTGCCTACAAATGTGTCTGTTCCCTCCCTTTCCCAACGTCATGCTATGTGAGAGGCAGCCAGGACAGGGATGAGGAATGTGAACCCCAAGCCCTTTGCACTGAGTCCAAATGTAGGTGCTGACTCGTCTTAGTCGTTTAACCTCAGGGCAGCTATCACTTGAGCCCTCTGAACTTCACTTGCCTTATTTGTCATAAAAATGTAGTCTGGTAAGGCATGCAGCCACTGCCAATCACGTAGATTTCAACTCGTAGTGATTCTATTTAGGGTTTCTGAGACTAAATCTTTCAGGAAGCAGACAGCCTCATTTTTCTCCAGCCTGAGTTGCTGGGGTGGGTTATACTGCCCATTTTGTGGTTAGCAGTATAACCCACAGCAACGCCCTAGTCTCCATAAGGCATAAAAGGTGCTCTGTAGCATGTGTGACTTTGGGAGGAACCTTCATATTACATCATTTTACATACCCCCGACAGTGCACAGGTGTTCCAACTTCCCTACCGATTCTCCAGTATTCTTTTATTTATTTTTTATCACAGCCATCCTAGTGGGAATAAACTCATATCTCCCATTGGTTTTGATTGGCGTTTCCTTAATGACGAATAAAGGGAGCCCTGGTGGCACAGTGGGTTATCCGGTGGGCTGTGAGCAGAGAGAAAGGTTGGTGGTTCAGATCTCTCAGCGGCTTCGAGGGAGGAATACGAGATTGTCTGTTGCTGTGAAGATGTGCGGTCGCGGGAGCCGTCCAGGAGCAGTCATACTCTGTTCTAAGGAGCGGAGGAGCGGAAGCGACTGTGGCAGTGGGTTTGCTTTGTTTGGGGTTGGAAGGACCACTAATATTGATGATCTTGCCATCTGCCTATTGCTCACTTATATATTTTCTTTGGAGAAATGTCTAGTCGTATCCTTTGCCCAACTTTTAATTGGGTTTTTGTTTTTCAGCAATCCATTTCTTTTTATTTCTTATTTTCCCTTCCCCCAAATTTCTAACCAAGATTTACTGAGCAACTATTAAGTGTAAGGTTTTGTGGTTCATTTTGGCAGACCCTGTGATCCATGGGGAGGGGCCTTCACCCACAAAGAGCCTACTGTCCCTCATAGGGGTTCACACTTCAAAGTTATGCTGTGTGACCCCTTACCATGTGGGGTAAGGAGCCCTGGTTGCATAGTGATTATGCATTGGGATGCGGTTCACAAGGTCAGCAGTTCAAAGCCACCAGCCACTCTACAGGAGAAAGATGGGGCTTCCCACTTCCATAAACAATGAGTCTCGGAAACCCACAGAGGCAGTTCTTCCCTGTCCTACAAGGTCGCGATGGGTCGGCACGGACTTGGTGGCAGTGACTGAGTTAGTTACAGTGTAGCAAACATCGTGCCGAGTTCTCCAGACTCACCATGGTGAATTGTAAGTCACCTATAAGATGAGGAGCCCTAGTGACACTGGGGGCGAGGCTTTGGGTTGATTATCACAAATATGCCAGTAGCCCTCTTAGGGAGAAAGATTAAGCTATCTGCTCCCAAAAGGATTTATAGTCTCAGATAAGAGTCAGAAGGGGCTAGATGTCTGTGGGTTCACTTGATTGCTTTGGGTTTGAGGTAGATGCTGTTTCATAGAAGAGGAATCTGGAGCTTAAGGAAGCTGAGTGCCTTTTCCAAGCTGAAGGCAAACCAGTGTCCTGGCCCCTAAGCCTGAGCATGCAGCCACGCCTCGCCACTGGCTCACCAGTGCTGGGAGCCCTCTGTCTTTGACATGTCTCTCCTCTTAAGTCCTAAGGCAAACAGCATCAAATCAATCCTCTGCTTGCATTCCTTGGAAATCAGGCATCTCAAAAGTACTTGAAAAGACCTATTCTTAGGTAAAATCCATCTTCCTGAGTTTCAACAGAGGCAGCATGGTAGAAATAACCCTGTTGAAGGTAGAAGACTTTGGAGCCAGGCCCTTGACTCTACCACTTACCAATTGTGACCTACAGTTAATTACTCAACCACTCTGTTTGAATATCTTATGTATATGAATAAAAAAGGGATGGTGCTATTTCACTCTGAGGTTGTTCTGAGCATTAAAAATTGTAACATATGAAAACTTCAAAACTCTGAACTACTTTTGAATTAGTGTGAATTGGGGTTAAATGTTCTGATGTACTGCCATCGAGTTGATTCCGACTCATAGCAACCCTGTGGACCTCTAAACATGAGTAGAAAACCTCCTCTTTGTCCCACTGAATGGCTGGTGGTTTTGAACTGCTGACTTTGCGGTTATCAGCTCAACATATAACCACTATGCCATCAGGACTCCTGGGATGTGTTGTTTCATTATTCAGACCATAATCATGTATTCATACTGTAATTATGGATCCCATAGGTCAGGGATCAACATTTCCTAATATCTCCAGGGTGACGCATTGGCCTGCTAACGGCAAGCTCAGCAGTTCCAACCCAGTAGCTGCTCCGTGGGAGAAAGAGGAGACTTTCTATTCCCATAAAGAGTTGCTGTCTCAGAAACCCACAGAGACAGTTCCACCCTGTCTAATAGGGTTGTTGTGACTCTGGGGTGTCCATTCGGTGGTGGTGGTGGTGGTGGTAGTGGTGGAGGAGAGTAAGAAGGTCTTGATCTCATGGTAACTAGTTACCCAGCTAACCTCAGTAAGACCACCACTGCTTTCTGTTGACACCTAAGAGCAGATCATGCTTGCAGATGGCTACTTTGCTGTGCTTACACTTCTCAGCTCTCCCACCTCCCCTACCAGTGTTCCAGCCCTTCCCTCCAAGTTCATTTCATTGGCAACCTGGTAAGGGAACCCCTCGCCTGGGGGGAAGGAAAGCCTAGAAGAAACATCAAGGTGTCTTTTGAAAGCCTAACCTACCAAAGAAGGCTGCATCTTCCTTTTTCCTATCCTATTTGCTTGCTTTCTTGCCTTCTGATCTCCCCGGCCCCCGCCCTTGGTTGCCCAACAATGGAGACAGATAAGAACATTCACAAACCCATCCAATTCAAGCATTGGACTAGGCATGCACCTTGTTAGGTGGATACCATCCGAGGAATAAGCGGAAGCGGCAAAACAGGGTTCCGCCTCAAACCTTGGAGAAGCTCTTCCTTTCAATATTTCAATGGCCGTCTCCCCGGGAGCAGCTCTTGCATCTCAACTCCCAATTCACTGTTCCAAAGGCCTAAGGTTTGGGTTCAGAACTCCAGCTCACCGCTGCCCCCGCCCCCGATCCCCACCGTGCTTCCAGTGCCAGTACCCGTCCAGGTAGGGGCGCTGAGCTTTTCGCACTGAGCTCCCTCCCCAGTCCCACCTGCAGGTGTGCTGTTGCCAAGCCTCTGAGCAGACGCAGCCATTGCCATTCGCCAGGCTCTCTTGGCGACTGCAGCTTGTTGGCAAGACTCTGGCGCATAAAGATGTCTTTAAACTTTGAAAGGTGACCTTGGACCCCTCGAGTTAAGGTGGCCTTTACAACCCAGGTTACCAGGAGTGGGCTGGAGACTCCAGCGCGGAGAGCCGCCCCGCCCAGGCCACCCACTGTCTCCGGGACGCCAGTGGGCGGGGCGGCCACCAACCGGCTGGTAAACCTGCCAGCAGTGCCTTCCCCAGCGCTGGAGCACACGCGCAGGCACTGGTGATGGGGAAGCTGGTGGCACTGACCCTGCTGGGGTTGGGCCTGGCCGTGATCACAGAAAGATTCTTGACCTTGAGGTGAGTTGGCATTTTGCTGGAAGCATATTCTGCTCCTTTCCCCTCTGCTTGCAAGTTAGTTCAAGTGCCCAGTGCCCAGGAATGAGGAGCTCTGGGAACTTGCTCTTCCAGTTAACCATCCCTTGAAATCCTCCTTCTGTCGAAAGTGGGCCCTTGTACTTTTTAAGAGGGTAGGGAGGAAGGAAATGCTCCCATTTATTTTCAGAAAGCAATGTCCCAGGACCATTTTGCTCCAGCCTATAGCACTCTCTTGGAAGAGCTGCCTCTGGGGAGGGAGCCAGGCTCCTGTCAGCTGGGTGTTGATGACAGCCTTGAACATTTCCCCAACCCTGTTCCCCACTGGGGCTACCGCTGCCTTGCCAAGAACCAGCCAGAAGGAGGCAAATGAACTGAAGCCTGCTGGTGGGCACTGGCATTCACTAGGTTTCTAACATTTGAAAAGTTTAAGATCCGGTGCTAAAGGCAATGTCTGAGGCAAAGTCAATAACTCAAGAACAACACCAACAAAAACGCTTTGCCTTCAAATCGGTTCCAACTGCAACGGACAGAGTAGAATTGCCCAGGTGGGAGCAAAAAGCCTCATCTTTCTCCCAAGAAGAGACTGGTGGATTCTGACCTTGGACCTTGTGGTTAGCCTTGCAAAGCATAAGCCACTTGGACTGGAAAGAAGAAATATTAGGTGACCCCAGCACCCTGGACCGGTCTAAAGCTTCCACCTGCGTTCAGTTGTCTTCCTAAAGCGTTTATTTATTTGTTTGTTTGTTTATTTAAGTAGACACTGATTTCCAGTACCCCCTCACCCCTCCCCACCCCAATTCACATCTTCTGGCAATACTTTCTACTCCAGGGTGAGAGTGTTTGTTGTTACATTTTCTACCTCCCAGTACACCCAAGTGAGAGTCATACAAAAGCATAATACAGATTTAAGAGATATACTATATATTTTAAATGATAGTATGGTAAGTTTAAGTGTAAAGTAAAGCTTAATATTACCCTTTGTGCTTAGAAGAGTGTTTCACTTTGAAAACTGTATTGAAAAATAAGTTGTCGATTGCTTCCATATGGTCAGTTTATTGAATTCACATAGTTGTAGAGTAAGTCCGTATGAAATCCTAAAATAAAGCAAAAGCCAAAGGATGTAGTTATTGGTAGACTATTGATTTTTAGGAAGGCAGTTTGAGGAGACTGAAAAAGCAGGATTGTTTGGGGGAAAGTGCAGATCTTCAAAAGAAGGACCATTGGTAAATGAAAGAATGTTGTTTTGCTTGGTTACATGGATAATATCGTTCAGCTACTCCTAATCTGAAATTGTGTCTCTCTGTGAGCAGCAGAGGAGTTTCCTCCGAGAGTCATAGTCAAAACCTGTGGCAACTGGATGAAACTAGCAATACTATCCACACAAACGCCCACATTTATCAAGACGTGAAAGAAGCCTCCAAAGTTACATGTCTATCAAGTTCCTTGTATGTCACCATGATTGTTAATCAAGATGAAGCTGATTCGAGGCGACATTTAGTAATTTTTTTATGTTGTGCAAGGACCCAGCTATTGTTATTTGTCTTCCCCAAGGGACAAAGTAAATGCATCACGAGAAGTGGAGCCAGTAGAACCTGGGAACTGCCACATTATTGAAGGCATAGGTATGTATGTGCAATATCAAGAGTGGCCAACACAATTTTTTGATTGGACCATCCACTTGAATGCTAAGGAATGCCCCACAGCATTCTTAGACCTTCATAGTAGGACTTTAGCTCCAATCTCCTTTAGCCAAGCCCCCTCAGCCAAGGTTTCTAGGGATCTCCTACATGCCTTCATAGGACTTTTTTTTTCCACATTCTTTTTCCTCACTAATGCCTCTCCACCATTTGAAGAATGCCATTGACATTCTTGGCCATGCTTCCTTTCCCTTTGGGGGCATCTCATTCTGCCTGTCTTCTGCTGCTGCCTGAATCCTCTGTCCCCTTTCCTTTTTCTCTCCTTCCCTTTGATGATATTACTGGACTCAAATGTGACTTCTTTCAAAATGCATCCATA